ATGTGCAGTGTTATTGTTCATTTTGTAGATAATATTAATATTAACTAACTCAAATAACAGATGCATTTAAAGGAAAGACGTTTGTCTTCATCTGTGCAGGACTGAAACCTACTACCTGTCTGCCAGACTGTCTGCCTGGATACTAGCTGTCTGTCTGACTATCACCTCTGTGTCTGACTATTACTTTTGATACGTTCTTATGTTGCAGCTCAGTTTATTCGGATTGATGAAGAAGCGAGATGGAAAATGGAGAATCAACTGAAAACACAAGTTTGTCTGTAGGAGCACAACAGTTTCTGGTCTGTAGAAGGTGGGATTATTACATCATTTTTTTCAAAAAGCAGAGCTTGTGTCGTGTAATCTGTAAAGAGGACTGAATACTTTTGAATAAAAGTGAAAAGACATCTTGTGGGATCCCTCAGCTGTTACTCTCTCAGCCCCTTTTCAGACCTTGTGTTAACATCTGTCTCAGGTGATCTGAGGGAGAGAGGGCACCCAAGAAACACTGAGGACACATTAGAGATCCGATCACACAGACGTGTTAGTGAAGTTAGGTTATTCACATACACATGTAATGTTAGTGAAGTAACATTATTATCTTTGATTGTTTATTTTCATGCATAAATCTGCTAAATGGTGTTGTAGCTTGTCGTGCTCAAGGGAAACTGTTGGAGCTGAGAACATGTAGTTGTACCGGTTATGTCACATTTATTCATACATGACTACTGTTATGGAATTTTCATTGACAATCTCTCTTGTCCTCTCTGGGGCAGAGTGCAACAGGCTGTTGTGTTTGGGAAGTGCGAGAGCTTGGCGAAGGTCAAAGCCTTCACTCGCTTGACATCACAGATATGAGACTGCGTACGCAGGCAATACTGTCTCTCTAACTAGAAAATACATTTGATTGTTTAGGAACAAGCTCACCCAGAGATTAAATGATCTGTTGGGGTTTAAAGTGTGACTGAAGGAAAGCAGACTTCAGAATATGAGAGAGCATCATGCACAGATGTATGGATGAATTCTGAATTCTCCTTGGCCAAGCTTCAAGAAATATTTCAGCATAAGATGGTAAAGGGCTCCTGAACGCTTTCTTCACTGATGAGGTGACCATTGATCAGCATTTTCTACTACTACTACTGACTAACTACGTTTGTGGTAGATAGGTTTCTTTGGGACAGAACAGGACACAGAGTTAGATCCACTACATAGAAGATATACTTTTTATAGAATATATTTTATATTGTGTTTTAGTTGCATGCCAAGGTTTTAATCCTACCTTTCTAATATTACTTGTCTAATCTAACTTATCCTTTGTTTTAGGTTAATCAGTGGCTTATGTCCTTTGTTATAAATACATTGAAGATGGTGAAAGCTTTTGAGTGCAAACATTACAAACATGGTAAGATGGACATAACTTTGTGTAATAAATCGATTGTATTTTAGCATCAGTTTCTCTGTGCTTATCTATTAACTGCAAATTCTGGGATCTAAATTCCCCAACAACACCAGCATACATTGTAACAAAGGGGTACCCAAACCCAGCAAGGGGGGTCTAACAGTGCTTTGTGATTACACATGTGATTGGACAAGATCAGATCACTCCTTCAATTCTATATTGCACAAAATCTCATTCATGCCTTTGTGTCCAGCTATTACTCCAACTCTGTATTTGCTCCTCCAGAAGTCAATCAACCGCCTCCAACTTGTGCACAACACAGCAGGTAGGTTTCTGACAAGAAGTTGGAAATATGGTCTAGGGCTGAATATCAAAATGTTTTTAGGCGATATCGCAGTACACGATGTACAAAAATCTCTAAATCACTGTAAAAATGTTTAATTCAACCCAAGCACAAATTTCTCCAGTATGATGATTCTATTTTTTTTATTTGCATGGAAAAAGGGGAAAATCACAATCAAGCAAACATTTTATTTTGAGCCAGGCAGCTGCCCTGATAAGATTTTAACAAATTAAAATAAATAAGGAAGGCCTTCTGACTGGGGCCTAGTTCTCAAAGACTCACACAGACTGGCCCCCGGGCTCTGCCCTCACTCACTCACAGTGAGATCAGAGCTCATTCATGTGAAGCCAGTTGTGACTTTGTTGAAGAACAGTGGAAACAAACAGTGAAAAAAACACAGTTTCTCTATGATCCACAGATTTCAATGATCAGAACGTTGGTTTGTACCAAGCTGGAGTTTCTCTGACCTGCTCTGACTTTGACTAATAAACTCTCATCAGTTATTAAGCTGATCAGTACATGAAGTAACTTAGTGTCTGTTTGAATCGCTCCCTCTCCTTCTGTGATGCAAGTGTTATCCTTCAGCGAGGTTTTCACAGTCACAGCCTGGACTTCTGCCTCTGTGGTTTGCACACGATGCTATTTTTAGTTTACCATCTTCAAAATGATCTGTTGTTACAAACATGACTGAACAGAAAAAATGAACTTTAATTTATATGATTTCGAAATGT